CAACGAATGCAATACAACAGAAAAGAACAACAGTTGGGTGATCCAGGTTCTGACATGCTGACTCCCAAGGCCGCTCTTCTTACCTTTTGCTCCGGCTCCTCAGAGTCTTGCAAGAAACGTTCAGCCAGGACGACGGCCCGTGTGCAGGTCTCCGGCCCATGTTCCCGGACCCAGCTCTGCATCTCCGGGGGCAGGACGGTCAGGAACTGCTCCAGGATGAGGAACTCCAGGATCTGCTCCTTGGTGTGAGTCTCCGGCCTCAGCCACTGGTGGCAAAGCTCCGAGAGCTGGTTGCAAACCTCCCGAGGCCCCTCGGCTTCTTCGTAGCAGAAAAGACGGAACTGCTGTCTCCGCATCTCCATGTGGACGAGGTCCTCATCAGGGACCTCTTCCTTCACTTTCACGGGTGAATCCTGGCTACTCCCATAGGGCTTACTGTCGCCCAACGTGGTTTGAGGTATGCACTCTACTTTTGGCCACTGGCTGGCTTCTTCTCCTCTCTTGAAGGAGGTTGGACAATACTTGGGGTCTTCCCCTAACATACAGAGAGGGGACCGGGGATTCCTCCACCCCGAATGAGAGGGCTGCATGGTTTTCAGGAAGTCCTGTAATTGGTTTTCTCAGCACTGGTCCTCTGGCTCCTGCTTAAATTGCTGGGGGGGCACAGCCCCTTCCAGCAACTCCCCAGTGGCCGCGATCTGGACGACATGAAGGTCTCGTGCTGCGCCCTCCAAGCCCTCCTGCGATTCAGCTCCAGCAGCTTCCGGTTCCTCCATTTGGGTTTCTGAATCCAGATCCTGCATTGAAAATGAAAAATCGGGTTACTTAAGAACAAAAAAGGTATCCAGCTCCCCGCCCCAGCACATACTGCAAGGAAAGCACCAACTAAATTAAGACTGCAAAAAGAGTCCTACGGGTCTTGACCAGGGTTTTATCAAGTCTCCCTTCTCCTCCAGACACATGAGATGGCAACCTCCAGATTTCCCAGTTAGGATGCAATTCTGGGACTTGCAGTTGCACCACATCTGAGGAAGACAGATTTTATCCAACTTTGTAGACCATCAGGAATTGCATGCAAGCTAGTAAGTGAGCTGGTGGGGAGATGG